GAATATTGCCGGGGTGCATTCACATTTTGCTGAATAAATAGGGCACATGGCCCCAGCATGAGCACAGAAGGGCGGGCTTCCCATGACTTGTCATCATATTTTCGGCTTTGGCTCTCGCTACCAAGGGAAGGCTTTCAGTTCTTCCGCCCCCCCTGCCCTCTTTCATCACAATGAGATTTTTTTTCCTCCTCCCCTAAAGTTCATAATGAAAATGCTTTATTTGTGTGTATATATATAGGCAGCGTTCCGTGTCTAAATCACACCGGCCATGTGACCACGGAAAGATTGTCTTCGGACAAAACTCTGGCTCTATGGCTTGAAGAGCGGGATGAGCGCCGCCCCCTAGGGTCGGACACGACTGGACAAAAATTGTCAAGGGGAACCTTTACCTTTACCTATATAGGCATGTCAGAGTGTTGGGACAGATTTATTGCTTTCTCACGTTTGGCTCTCGCTACCAAGGGAAGGCTTTCGGTTCTTCCACCCCCTGCCCTCTTTCATCACACTGAGATTTTTTTTTCTTCCCCCCCTAAAGTTCATAATGAAAGTGCTTTATTTGTGTATATATTTTTAAATGGCTATTTGGTTTTCAAATTGCCCAGGCATGTCAGAGTGCTGGGACAGATTGATTGCTTTCTCACAATCACTTCCATGCCTGCCTGGGTGTTAAGATAATCAGGGGAGATGTTTCTCTTGGTTCCACCACCTTCACAGGTGCACTTGGCAGGCACACTAGGGAGGGCCTTCTCTGCCATTGCTCCCAGACTCTGGAACTCCCTCCCACTGGAGGCCAGTCTTTGCTGTCCTTCCGCAAGCAGTTGAACACCTTTCTCTTCAGTCAGGCTTTTATTTAGTGATTGGCTGTCTGATGGGATTTTTTTTAATGGATTGTTATTTCTTGCTATTTTAAATAGTGCTAGAACAGAATGACAGATAGGGAAAAATTAGAGCTTTTCCTACAGCCTGGCACAAGGTCACTGAGATAGACAGACACCAAGTGGGGCTTGGAAGGAGAGAGACCCAGAGCCAGGCCTGAAACTGACTAGGCTTGCAAAGGAGGGAGATACCCAGCCAGGGCTGAAACTGACCAGACATTGAACCTAGTGATTTGGTGTTTTGATGTTCTGATGCTTAGCCTATCCTATGGACAAAAAGCCACTGTAAGAATAGAATACAAAGAATCAGAATCATTTCCCATTGGCAGAGTTGTCACACAAGGATACATTACATATGATATATGGAACCTATCAGATAAAAGACTGGATTAGTTTCTGACGAAGGAGGAAATTAAAACGGATGGATGAAACATCAATAATTTAAGACACATGGATGACACCGTATTACCAACAGAAAGCCTCAATGAGATGAAACAGCTTGAGATAAAGTGTGAAGGAATACAAAAATAGGATTGCAGCTGAATAATAAGAGAAAAGTCATGACTACAGAAGAGGTACATAACTTTACTGCTGACCAAGGAGAAATTAAAATGTTTTCTGTCCGTTGGTGCAATCATCAGTCAAGCTGGAGACTGCAGCCAAAACACGAGAAAAAGAGTGAAGTCTCAGAAGGGCAGGAACCAGAAAGGATCTCTGAGAGTTAGGACATGTCTTTGCAGATCAAGGTTAAGCTCATTCTGTCTGTGGTGTCCCTGATTACTGTGTATGGCTGTGCAGAGTGGGCAATGAAGAAAGCTGATAAGGAAAAAAATCAGTCAATAAAAATGTGGTGTTGAAATAACTGTTGTTCCATGCCATTAAATTGCCCTCAACTTATAGCAACCCTGTGAAATGTCCTGCCCTCAACAGTTCAGGCTTGATTTCATCTAGGACCCACTTGTATTTCTGCCTGTCTAGAGCATCAGCAAACTTGCTTCAGGCTTGATTTCATCTAGGACTCACTTGTTGTCCACCAACACCACATTTCAAACAAATCTATTTTCTTCTCCTGTCTGCTTTCTTCACTGTCCAGCTTTCACACCCTTACATGGTGACTGGAAATACGAGAGGGTGGACAATCTTGGTGTTGATCTCCAGTGACACATCCTTACACATGATCATCTTTTCTTGTCTCTTTTATTACCTTCAAAGACGGAGTTTTACAAATACCATTGACTGCCAGCAGAGGCAACAACATCAACAAATAAGTGGGTTCTAGAGCAAATCATATTTAAGCTGTCACTAGAAACTAAAATGTCAACACTGAAGTTGTGGCGGTGGTGTTTGTTCTGTGTTGTCAAGTCGGAGCTGACTTATAGTGGTTTTCAAGGGGAGATGTTTAAGGAGTGGCTTGAGCAATTCCGCTCCTTCTGTAACTTAGCAGAGATTCGAACTCTGTTCTCCAAAGTCCTAGTCCATCACTCTATCCACTACACCACACTGGGAACACCAGATCATGCAATATCACGAGAAAACAATGATCACTCTATCCACTACGCCACACTGGGAACACCAGATCATGTGATATCATGAGAAAACAATACTTACTAGAAAAGACCACAATGACAGGTAAAGCTGGAGGCAGTAGGAAAAGAAGAAGGTTAAACATGAGATGAATTAACTCACTAAAGCAACCACAGCTTTCCTGAGAAGGCTGTTAATGAAAGGTCTTTCTGGGGATCCTTTGTAATGCCATCGTAAACTAGAACCAACTTGATGGCAGATAACACACCCACCCACTTCTTTCCAAATGTGCAAAAATGCATATTAGTTAGCTTATTCAAAGCATATGCAAACAGTGTCCTCGTTTTTTCTTAACACCCTTTCTTCTTTTGGCAATGCATTTCCTTGTTTGGTGACACGCACAACCGGGTCCTTGAACACTACGGTTGTTCTCTTTTGCATTTAATTTCCCTCTCTAACCCCACCCCGCACCTGCTGCCATGCATGCAAGCTATGGGCGCAGAAGCTGACTTTTGCTGTACTGTAGTCCGAAAAAGGGGGCTTTTCATCATCTTTGCTTCGAGTCCCAAAAGAGGTGATCTTGCAGATTAAAACTATGGGCGCAGAAGCTGACTTTTGCTGTAGTCTGAAAAAGGGGGATTTTCATCATCTTTGCTTGAAGTCCCAAAAGGGGTGATCCCAAAAGGAGGTTTATCCTAGTTTTTCATCCACAATCCAAAAAAGACGATCCAGTCCCTGGTGATGAAAAAAGAGGGCTCCAAACTGGAGTTTGCAAGTCTTTTGTCTCTGCTACAAATCAGTGGTTCCCAACCTTGGGTC